AGGCGGGCAGCAGCGGGAGAGGAGAGGAGACCGGGAGCGGCGGTCCGTATTCCAGGCCTGGGGCGGGGTCCCCGGGCGGCGTCGCGGAGCTTCGGACCCGCCTCGGTGCAGCGGGGACAGCGCCTCCTCTCGGACCTCCTCAGTCCTGTCACCTCTTCCCGGTATCTGAAGCTTTTGAATTGAGAAAACGCCCCACAGCACATTCAAAATGACGCCCACTACGTGGAGGCCGGAAGTCCCGCCCCAAAGCTATTACCTCATACGGAGACGCGTCTTTTCGACTCTATTGGCTGATCGTCGCAGCCACCCATTGCACAGCCTTCTGGGTAATGTATTTCCCACAGAGCCACAGCCATAGGTCCCAGATGTTCCGCGTCTGACGTCCAGGAGAAAAGCCACACCGTGAAGGTTGCTGGGAAACATCAACGCTAAGGCCACAGACTGAGGATGGGCGTTTCTTCTTAAAGAGGGTGCACTCACAGATGTTTGAGGTGTATTATCTGTAACTGATTACCCAAGGGTTTGAAGACGTGAATTTCAGACTCTGTGAAGCTCAGTGTGTCCCAGAGTCTGAAAGTACCTTTTGAGATGCTCTCAAATCCACCAATCCAAAGGTACCTACTACATAACTAATAACCTAAAAAAAAAAAAAAACCACTAAAGGTACCTACCACTGCAGAGTCATTTAGACACACAATGGGGCCACTAGAAACTGAAGCTTTATAAACAGTTCTGTACTGTCAGTCTGCATGTGCTTGGTCAACACAGAACAAATACCAAGATAGTGTTGTGATAAGGAAGATAGAAGGATGCTGGCCACCTTAAAGGAGTACAAAGATGGGTCTCTGACACTGGTCCTCATGGAGAACATCTCCTGTCTGTATAGTTAAATATACTGTCCAATTTTGAGCAACACTTTTAACTATTTAATATATCTTATTTCATATCCTGACATATGTTTAATTCCTATCTGAATCTGAATCAATCTCAAAAAGAGAACAGCAGAACAAATGCCATTTTGGCATGGGAATGGCTGCAGTGTTTTGCAATATTCCATTATTATTTATCATTTCATAGTTGGTCTTGATTCATCTACCCCGCCCACAGTATATTATTTAACCTGTAATCCAGACATCATGTATTTTAATGTATAATCTCTTCAGAATGTGTTTCTAAAATATAAGGGTTCTTTCATAAGTCCAATAACTTTGGCATAAAAAATCATAATATTTACAATTAATGTAAACATGTTATCAGTGCTGAATTTTCTCAGTTGTAGTATTGGTTATTTAGGGTAGACTGCAATCTGCATACAAAATATATCTTCAGCCAATTATTAAGTGCGTCTTGTTAGTCTATTAACCTATACGTACCCATTCCATGTGAGCACACTAGAGCCAAGTAGGTGAAAGGCACTGCAGCCTGTAGACTGTCAGGGACCCACTGCCTCAGCCAGTGGGAGTTTTCTGTAATCTCTCTAGGGACCTGGGTGGCTACAGAGCCCTGAGGTCTGTGGTGGGTCTGTCCTTCTGCCCTAACCCACTCTTGGCTTCTACTGGGAGAGGAACGATTTGTATCAGGTAAGAGTCAGGCTCTGAGATACAACTGCTGAGGCTTAACACATTGGTTATCATTGCATGGGTAGTGCATCACTCTGTGACCCTGGAAGAGTTGTAAAATGTCTTTGTACCTCAAGATATAAGTTAGCCCAAGTTAAAATTAGCTTATTTCACAAATGTACAGCATCTCAATGGTTTATCAGAGGATGAGCTTTTCTCATTCATAAATACGTTCCTGTGTATAGGCAGTGAGCTTTGCACCACACAGTGATTCAGGGACCAAAATGCCTTCTATGGTCAATATATGGCTCTAAGGCTCCCCTGGTACTGTCTAGGTGACCAAGAGGAAGTGGAGAAGTCACACCCACTCCCACATATATGACTTCTAGTCACATCCTGTTGACAAGGACTGGTCTTTGGGCCAACCCTGTGTGCATGGGCAGGAAAATGAGGCTGAGCTCTGTGCCCAAGAGAAGACCCAGTGAGTTTGGTGAACATATATGCAGTTGGCTGCACTCAGCCTACTCTTGAAAAATGACATCTCTTGAAAAATGACAGCCATAATGGTTTCTATGCCATGTAAGCAGATAATGAGTAGCTCAAAAAAAGTTATTTATTAATATTATTCGTGTAATGTAGTCATAATGAATAGTACTATCTCAAAGTTACTTGTGGACACCCTTGAAAAGTCACACTTCCTAGCTTAATATACCCATGAATATCATCCCACCCTTTCTACCTTCATTGTATCTGCTGATCCTCCTCTTTATTAGTCAGATACTGAAAAACAGTCTTTCCCCCCCATGTCCTCCTGTTCTCGCTGTCCTGTACAACCTCAAGAGGTAACCTGCTCTTTCATATCTGGGCTGATGTGGGCAGCTGGAGTCATTAAGCATATTGATGGCTATGACACAGAGTCACAGTCTCTTCCTTCTGGTTGCTTCTCTAGCTGGCCAGATTCTCCACTGTTCCTCCAA